GGTGGCCACTTCGTCCCTATTTCTAGCCTAGGGACCCAGGCAAGGTCTGGGCTCCCGCCTCGGAGGGGCCAGCGCTTTCCAAAGATAAAATCAGACTCTCAGAAAGAAGCTCCTGCAAACCCCAATCCCAGAACCCAGGGTAGGAAGTTGCTCCGTTCCCCAGGATGCCTCTGCCCAGGCAATCAGAAACACTGAGCCCGGGACTTAGCCCTCCACCCAGGGCGGGCGCAGGCTGTGGAGCGGGTTCCCTCCCTGGCTCCGGCCACTGCAGTGCCCCTGAGTGAGCTCTGCCCACCGGGCCGCCACACAGAGAAAAGGCGGGCGGGCAGAGCTCATATCTATTTTCTGCCCAATGTCCCCCCTCTCCCTCTTTTTCTCCTCCCTTCCCTTTTCCCTCCCACTCACCCTTCTCCGCCCCCACCTTCCTACCTCTGCTTCCCTCTGAATACAGCGCAAACTGGCCGGTGGCGACTGGAAGGCAGGGAACCTCCCCTGCCCCCCAGAACTGCCCATCCTTTTGTGCACCTCCTCAAAGCGGGCACCTTTACCCAGATTCCAGCTCGACCCCCTTCTCCTCAGCCCAGAGCGCCCGCACAGTTATCTGCCTCCCCATCTGCATCCCGGCCTAAGCCTCCTTTTGGGCTCGCAGTCGACGCCCCTGGATCTTTCTCCTAAAATGGCTCCCGGGACACTGCACACTAGCCCTGCGGCAGCTCAGGACCCTGGGCAACGGCGGCCGGCCCCCCAGGCGGGTCTGTATGTGTCTGGGGGCGCACAAAATTCTCGCGCCTTCTCTCTGCATGGGGTGGGGCGCAGGCATCCCTCTACCCCCCAAATAGAGTCTGCTGGCTGCCTGAGAGGGAAATGGGGAGGACGAACCATTCAAGTTCAACGACATGGCGATGGCGGCTCGGGCTGGAGCCGCGCTTTGGCGGGGGAGGTTCGCCATCTGCAGCGGCTCACGGGTGTAAAGAGAAAAGGGGCCGGTGGGCCCCCTCTGCGCGTTTGCACGGACCCCCGCCCCCACACCCAAGCCAGGGCTTTCGTTCTGGCACCAGCCCGCTTCGTCTTTGGGCCCCAGCTCCCTTCTCAATCTTTATCCCAAACCCAAAGAAAACCGCAACCTCCCAACCCGCGCGTCCCGCTCGAGAACCTACCGTGAAGCCCCTGGTGCTGTGGCGCTGTGGCCTTGTCCTTGCCTGCGCGACCCCACTCGAAGCGCAGGGAGGGAGCGCACCGCACCCTCCCGCACAGCCCGCAGCTCCGCGAGTGGTAGCTTTCTGAGCAGCGCCTGGACGCTCTGCGGTGATTTTGAGCCACCCAAGATAAGACACTAACTTGACCTTAACTTTGTCAGGGCGCCCCTGGTATCTGGAGAACGTGAACAGACACTGTCTGGCAGCTCTCGTAAAAGCTGACTGGGGAAGGGATTCTGAGTCATTTCATTTATTGCCACTACAGTTCTGCAAGAAAGCTTTTCCTCCCTGCCAAACTTTAATTATTTATGCTCTTTTAGGAAACGAAAGAAGAGGAGAAACGAGGGGAAAACACCCAGAGCCAGTCCCTTCCTGCAGAGCCTTCGGAACGGGCTTCCTATGTCGAGTGACTGGAGAACAACAACAACAAAACAAAAAAAATGTGGGGAGACCACCTTTGTCCGAGGATGATCGGACAGGCGCCGAGCACCCCCTCCCCCACCCCCACCGCCACTAAGGTGGGTGGATGCAGCTGGGAGAGGCGGGGTGAAAGGGCACCCCCTTCCAGGCACACACATGAATATTTACAACAGTTCTGGATTTCTCCTCCACCCCAACCCCCTGCCTCCCGGAAGCCTCCCCAGCCCGCCTCCCTTGGGGAGAGCCCCAGGCCTTAAAAGCGTCCCGGTAGGCTCCCTGAGTTCGCAGCCATTGAATGCCAGACGAAGCAGTTTTTGTTTTGTTTGTTTTTTTCTCATTTAAAAACCGTTTTCTTGGTAAAGAGGCCTGCCTGGACTGCAGCATTTCCGAGTACGCATTTGTCTTTGTGCGAGGGAATGTTGAGCACTCAGACTTCAGCATCCTTTCTCTTGGGCGTTTGTTTCTTATGAATTTCCTCGTGGTTCCAAATCCTCGCTGGGATTTCAGCCACCGCTGCTACAGGAGAGAGGGCACCGCCACCGCCACCGCCTTTGTGTTTGTGCGGATCAGTAAAAGGGATAGATTTGAAAAGCATTGCCCAAGCCATACGCCACAGATAAGATTTTACCCTTAGAATAATTTCAATCTGTTTGGGGAGTGGTCTCCATGAATATCTCCTCCCACCCTACGTGCCAGGCTAAAGAGAAAGAACAGGATGCTTTAATGATATATATTAGAAAGAAATGGCCTCCTGCATGCGGTCTCAGGTCTTGGGTTTACGTCTGGCTTCCTGTTCCTTTACCCAGCCCCTGAACCTGAGGTCTGAGAATGGTCTCCTCTTTTGTTCGGATGTTTTTGAGAACCAGCTCCAGGTACCAATGCCTCCCTGAGCCCCACAAAATGGGGAAACATTTCTAAAGAGAGGGTCTCCCCAGCCTCTTGGTTCCTTTTTCCTCCGTTGTATTTTTTAAAGGCGCTACTTTAAAAATATTTTTAAAGTACACATCAAATTCGATTGTGGGAAGGGGAATTGGAACCATTAAGTACTCACTATTAGAGATTTGGCAGTTTTGTCCATTGTCCCACTTGCTAAAAACTAGAAATTCTTTACTTTCCATCTCCAAGCTAGCTGGAGCTGGGGTCTATAAGAGGACAGTGAATACAGCAGGCCTTTCCTGGCTTTCCCTGACTGAGCTACAGGCTCGGAAGGCCTAGGGTGCAGAGGCCACATTTCCCAAGGGAGTTTGCTAGGCTGAAGGCAGAGGTGCCACAGGGCATAGCCTTTTCCAGAGAAGGCTGACCAAAACATGGCAGGGCGAGATGTTTGTATTGAAATATGAGGAACCTCATATCTTGGCAGCCTCCATCCCCCAACAATAGCAAGCTTTCAAGTTTGAGAATTTAGGCAAAATGCAGAAGCCCCTGCCTGCAACAAGCTGAGGGTTTGCTTCGTGTGTGAGACACACTCAAATCTGTCCACGAATCCCCCTCTTTGGATATTTCACACACATTTTGTTCATACATCATTTCCTGACTGACTTGGAAGACATCTTCTCATCTAATGAACAATCAAGTCAATACCTACAGTGAAACGGCAACCAGGAAAGAAAAACTGGATTTCGTGGCCTGAAAAACATTAGGAGGGAATCGGAAACGTTTTGATAAATCAACATCAGTCCCTTGACAGCTTGGCTGGGACCTGGATATTTATTTCCACTCAAAACATTTCTATGTGTCTGATATATACAAGCTATTGTTTTTGACAAAATCAAAACAAAACAAAACATGCATGACAACTATTAGATAGCAAAGAAAATGCAATTAGTCTAAGTATCAACTAAAGTCAGTTTGGCAGAGGCTCAGGGGCTCCTTGTGAGGTGCCCACTCTAGATCTAGGGCCTGGTCCTCCACTGAAAATAAATCATTGGACTTAGGGAAGGAATTTCCAAGCTCTTAGGCTGTTATGCATCTTGCTAGGAGTTGGGGGCGCTAATTCACAGAAGGAGAGGGAAAAGAAGCAGGGATGGTAAAAAGGAGTTTAGGGGGCCCTCGGGTTCAATGAGGTTAAGGCAGGATACCCCGGCACATGTGGAACGACTCCTTTTGGCATCCTGGAACCCCAGCCTCCACAAAGTAAGCCTAGCAAAGCCCAGGGCCTTTCAGACTCCATGGGGGCAGGCCAGCGATGGTATCAGAAAGGGCACAGTGTTTGGGCCCCTCGTGGACTTGGAGGGGGGTGGAGAAGAAGAAGGGAACTTCTACTCCTCTCTACTTGGTCAAGAGCAGCTGTGAGGGGCCCAGGATCTGAGGGAACTCCTTCCTTGCCTGCCCCCTGACTGATGGATGGAGGAGCTTTCACTTCTCCTTGCAGTGGCCCCCGTTACTATAATTTAAGGAAGAAAGATATGTTGACACCTTTACCCACCTTGACAGGAAAGTCATATTTATATTCGGAATGTAGGACACCCCCTCCCCCTTGCTCACTCCATTCTCCTGCCCCTGGACATTTCTCCCTCCTTTTAATGCAGCCCAGCCCCAAAGCAGCCTAGCAGCTCCTCATCAGAGCTCACCTCTGGGGGTCCAGTTACAGAGCGCAGGGCTTTGGCCTAGGCGTGTGTGAGGAGGTGAGAGAAGTAGGGGAATTTTACCAGTCTTGGCTATGAAGTGCAGTTTGCCATGGAGCCTGGCCTCCCTTGTCCCATTCATGGGAAGGAAGTATCCAGTCCATTCCACCAAGCTGGAGGAGCCAATCCAGCCTGAACTCCGAGGTGTTTCTGAGTTTGTAGGGCCACACTCCTTCCCCTTTCCTCCCGAAGTCTGGAGATCTAGGGCACTTTAGTCCTCCCAAACTATCCAGGGCAGAGAGCAGGGAGTGGTGGTGGCACCCTTTCCTTTCTCCAAAATCAGGATTCCGGCTTTTCCACAAGGGGCTTTGGCTGCAAAGAGACACAATTGTGCCCACAAGCCTTTCCATTCTGCCCTGGAGGCCTTCCTAAATTCAATTGCCTGCTAAATGGAGAAGGATTCGGGGAGGAGGGGGAAGGAGACTAACTATGTGAAAGCAGAAATCCAAGTAAAAGGGAGCTGGAGTGAGCCCAGGTTTAAACGCTAAGACAGGTGCGCCTAGGCCCCCACTGGGGAAGCCTCAAGGCCAAGGTTGTGCTGCAACTTCCACAGCCCCTCCGGGAAAGGGGAAAGCCTGGAGGTCTCCAAATCTGACCAGGTCTCCAAATCTCCTGCTGGCTTTGGGGGCTGCAGACGAGCGAGCGGGAGGGTACCTAGGACCAGCTGAGAAGGAGCAGATGGAAAAGCCCCCGTCTCAGCTCGTCCTCCACGCCAGGCTCCGGCTCAAAAAGGAAGGCCCGGCCATGGCCAGGCCCCGGGCTAGTACAGCGCCAGCGCCTGTTCGCGTAGCACCACGCGCTTCTTCTTCATACGACGATTCTGGAACCAGATTTTGACCTGCTGGTCGCTGAGGTTCAGCCTGTTGGACAATTCCTTGCGCTTCTGCCGGTTGATGAATTCGTTCAGGAGGAATTCGTTCTCCAGCTCTGCAATCTGCTGCTTGGTGTAGGGTTTCCGCTTCTTGCGGGCCCTCCCAGGGGCCGCCCCCCACGGCAGGCCTGCAACACAGCCCGAACCCTAGTCAGCCCAGCCTGCTCCCTATAGCCTGCCCGCCCCCGGAGGCTCCCTCCCCCTACACACTCTCCCCTGCACCCCACCTCCCATTCCGGCCCCTGCTGGCCCGGGGAGCACGGCCAATGTTTACCGTCGGGCAGCGAAGGTCGCAGGCAAGATGCGACGCCCGCTGCCTGCACTGTCATGTTCAAGTTGAGCGGGCCCTTGGCGTCGTCCTTGAAGCCGGCGGCGCAGGG